TGACAGCTGTAGTACTCTCATCACAGTAGACACTCATGATTACCGAATGGGAACTGTACGGTAGGGGCGTGACAGCTACAGTATCCTATTACAGTAGGCATCCGCGGTTACTGTATAACAACTGCAATAGGGACGTGGCAGCTACAGTATCCATTACGGTAATCAATCGCGGTTACTGCATGGGAACTGTGCTGTGGGAGCAAACGCTCCCTCACCATAGTGCGGGACACTGTTAACTCGCCTGTGAGAGGTACTCGCTGTAGACGGTTAGATACATCCTCATAACAGTCAAACGTGATTGTTTGGCAAGTCAATCTAATCCTGGAATTTAGCGGTATTGAACTTTTTTCAAAAAGAAAACCAAGCTCCCCTTTTCAGCCGGCGCAGCCTTTTGCTCAACCTCAAGCACACTCAACACCACCGCAAAGCCAATTTGGTTTTGGAGTGCAACACCAACAGCAATCAACACATCAACAACAACCGCAACATGTTCATCAGCAGCAATACCATCAGCAGAGCGTACAACAGCAGCAGCAACAACAACAACAACAGCAACAACGACCTATGCAATATTCCCAAACATCGCATGTTCAACAACAAGCAATCCAGCAACATATCCCTACTGCTCAGCAATCACCAATGCAACAAATCAACCACGGGGGACTTTCGCATCAGCCGGTCCCAGTTCAACCGCAATTACAACAACAGCTACACCAACAACAACAATTGCAACAACAACATCAACAAATGCGAATGGACGTACAACAAACGGTTCGTTGATATTGCTCTCGAGCTCCACGATATCTAGTCGATCCCTTCGTTGAGATATATGTTATATTGGTATATGTTTGTTTATTTGGTTATTCGTTTTGTGTTTTTACAGTTTTTTCTACTCTCGAAGGTAAAGTTCTGATTATTTAGTGTGGACAATACCAATCGCAAATGAGGCAGCAATCAGCTGCGGAACAACAACAACAGCTTGCCATGCAACAGCAGCGAGTGCGAGACATGTACATGGCTCAACAACAGCAGCAAAATCTGGCATTTCAAAGGCAACAGCAGCAGCAACAACAACAACAGCTGGAGCAGCAACAACAAATGCAACAACAACGATTGCAACAACAGCATTCGTTCTCCATGCAGCAACCGATTCAACGAACATTCCCGATGCAGCCTCAACAATCGTTTCAGAATGATGCGGTGCGTGAATATTGTTTGCCTTGATTATTTTCGTATTTTTCGTAATTCATATTTTCAATCATAATTTTATTTTTTATTTATTTATGTTTTTTTATTAGGTTATTATTATTTCAACGCATCGAAGGCTTATATCAGATTGATTTTTGGTTTTTATTTCTTTTGTCTTTGACTCGCAGTTTTGAATTCCTTTTGGATTTTGTTCTTTCTTTGTCAG